TTATTATTATTATTATTATTATTATTATTATTATTATTATTATTATTATTATTATTATTATTATTATTATTATTATTATTATTATTATTATTACTAAGCAGTCAGCCTTTTTCTCACAATGGTCAACCTCATCCTTCCTGGCAGCCCCAACTAAGATATGGGAGCCATTGCCCTGTCTGCTGTCCAGTAAATGGCATTCAGAGGCAAGCTACCTCTACAATTGTAATCATGATTACAAACCTCCATTTGAGCCCTTCAAACTGTAATACAATCATCTAAGCCACTGAAAGTCAACACAAGCAAAAACAAATCACCAGTTCCATTATGTACTTTGTGAAAATTTACTCTCAACCATGCTTAGAATTTGTAGGCTGAAGTTTTGTTTTTCCCTCATTATATTTAGGAGAGTGGTTCATAGATTGTTCGGGAATTTGCTTCCCTGAAAAATAAAGGCTTGTTCTGTCCCCAGGATTTTTTTTTTCCATCCAGAGCAGTTTTTCCTCTGGCTCACTGGAGAAGGAGATCTTTTGCTCTTGCCCTGCAATTCCCTCTCTCCCCAATTTACGTCCCTTTCACCTCTTTCTCTTTGTGTTGGGAGGGGTAGATTCATTAGGGCAGTGCTTAAAAATACTTTCCTAGGTAGAATAAAGCAGTCTTTTTGAACATTGGTATTATTTTAATACAATGATAGAACATGCATCATCCTCTATTAAAATATTACTAGCTTGCACAGTGTTAAAACTCACCATGTACTTTTTTTTGTTAATACTTACAGGTTCTGCAACCATTTTTGAGTACAATATAGCTGAAAGGAAAGATATGGAACAAATTAGGCAATTTAGCGCTGTGTGTCCACAATTCAATATTCAGTTTGAATGTTTAACAGTGAAGGAAAACTTAAAGATATTTGCTAAACTAAAGGGGATACCATTCAGTGATATAGAAAATGAGGTAAGCATATATTCAGAAAAATATAACCGAGTTGTGCTTGAAAAGGATAGAGAAATAGCTAAGTAAGGTACTGAAATGCAACTGCTTTATAGCACTGTCATCAGGATTCTTGAGATCACACGGGTGAGCAAACCACAGCAGTTCTATCTAGTCAGCAATGTCTGCCTTTCAAATATGACTGACAGTATTGTTAAGATCCAAAGCCTTATAAAATGTATGTATATTGATAGATTGTACTTTAGTTTTCAATCAAGACTGAAAAACATGCTAAGAAATTTAACAGATTTTAATATCAATGTACAAAACACACATTGTTATACTTTATAGGTAGAAAAAATTGAGACTCTCTTGGATATCAGTGCCATTCAGAATACACAAGCTAAGAATTTAAGTGGTGGACAAAAACGAAAATTGACTCTTGCGATTACTTTCCTAGGACAACCACAGATAAAAATCACCCATGGGCAAAAAGATCTATTGCCCATATTTTTCCTTCCTTCCTTCCTTCCTTCCTTCCTTCCTTCCTTCCTTCCTTCCTTCCTTCCTTCCTTCCTTCCTTCCTTCCTTCCTTCCTTCCGCCTTCCCTCCCTCCCTCCCTCCCTCCCTTCTTTCCATCCTTGATCTGCACAAGATTATAGAAGTCCCTAATTTAAATGTGTAATTCCAGATTTTTCTGTATGTAAAAGTTGATTCCTTTCTTCTAATAGGAAATAATTATTGAAAGGACAAGGATTTTGTTGTGTCCCGTGCCTGCAAAAGCAGGCGCGGGAAGTTGCAAGAGTCCCGGGCATTTGCAAAAGCTGCCCGGGACCAGACTGAGCGGCGCCGGCCTTGCGCACATGCGCAAGGCGGGAAAGGACTGCCTTGTGATTGGTTGGAATTGCCCGGGGATCGGAGGGTATATATAGAGGCTTGCGCGCCTCTGGGCTTGTCGTTGTTCGTAGATTGGAAGCAG